GTTATGCAAAATATCTTTTTGTCAGCGCAAACAGAATCTTTGTACAGACAACCCTGGCATAACTTTGACCATTTTATAAGAAGTGAGTCTTATAGGCTGTTTCATGAAATAAACCATGTAATGGGTTTACATCATTTATATGGTGCTGAAACATGCGATCCTTCAGCCCCCGATTATCTGGCCGATATCTTTAGCGGAGGGCCAATTTCCTGCCCTACCAACCCCGACGCAAGTTTGGATCCGTTTAATCCGCTGGTCAATGCAACTAATAATAATATGGATGCCAAGGCCTTGGGTTATATCTCGCCAATGCAAATTTCCAGAAATATACGAAGCGCCTTTATCGGAGACTGTAAAAGTTATATTTACCCTACTGAAGCGCCCAATGTTAATCCATGGATTGTAAACAGTGATCAGACCTGGGATTTCGCAATACGTATGTACCAGGATATAATCGTCAAAACCGGAACAACCCTGACCATTAAGTGCGAAGTACAAATGCCATCAGGCAGCAGGATACTGGTAGAGAAAGGGGCGAAGCTTATTATCGACGCAGGACGTGTTACCTCTTACCACCAAAGGAGACGTTGGAACGGCATAGAGCTGGTAGGCAATAGAAACCTCACCTCCACTCCGGCTAACCAGGGTTCCGTAGAGCTGATCAACGGTGGTATTATAGAAAATGCATGGAACGGGATACGCAATTTTACCTGGGATAATGGCGCCCAGGGAGGTGGTATCATCAAAGCTTCCAATGCCTATTTTTACAATTGCTGGAGAGGTGTGGAACTAAACGATTATGGCAATTACAACTATGCCACTGGCAATTGCAGGTTCAATAATGTTAGTTTCCTAATTGACGATATGAGTGCCATCTGGAACCAGGGTGGCCCCTTTGCCGGCCAATTTACCGCCTGGAATATAAAGGGCGGAGTAGCCATTAACAACTGCACCTTTAAAAACGAGATACCCTATAATCTCCTTGGCCAGCATTCCAGGGAAGAAGCCATTGTTTCCTGCTCTTCCGGGCTCACCATCTCCGGTAGTACTTTTGACGGCTTTAAAAAAGGCGTTTGTGCTAATTCGGTAGATGCGGCCCCCCGCCCTACCAAGATCTACAACAATACCTTCGAAAACATAACCAACAGTATTATAGTAGGTGCCGAGGCGTACAGCGATATACGTAACAACAGCATCAAAAAAATGACTTCTTACATCGTGAATAATGGCAACCAGGCCTTATTTGCCAGTGGTGTGGGTATATACCTCGACCGCACCATCGGCTCTTATGTGGCTTGCGAAAACGTGGTGGACGGTGTGCCGGGTAGTGGCAGCAGCAACAGTACTTCGCTCAACCCTGTAGGGCTCGTAGCCAACCATACCCATGCCGGAGGAGCTACCGTACTCGAAAACACCTTTAGCAATATCAAACGGGGTACGCAAACTCAGAAAAACAACCCTAAGCTGAATATTGCGTGCAATACCTATAATAATAACAATGTCGCTTTATTGGTAAACTCCGGAAGCCCGAATGGCTATGTATTACAGAACCAGGGTACTGGCTGTAGCTCGCAACAGGTGAGGGCAGGTAATAAGTTTATTAACAATGCCCGGGATATCACTTCCTATCTGCAGACATCGTGGAACTATTATGCCTTTACAGGAGCCAATAATTATACAGTAGAATTTCCTTATTTAAGCTCTTCGAATTTTGGCCTGACTAATTGTCCTTCTACAGATAATTACGATAGGCAATCACAATGTACCAACTATTTTAAATGTAAAGCTGTAGCCTTCCCGGAAATGGCCAAGCTGAAAAGTGATTTTGGCATCATTAAAGCAAATGGGCATGCATTTAGTGCCGAAGGTCAATTGCTGTTTGGTAATATTGTACGCCTGTATAATGAAGCGGATGACGATGCCGGTCTTATTTCATTCCTCGTAGCCGAAAATGATGATCATGCACGTAAGCTCCTGATACCTTTATACATCAGGCAAGGCAATTACAGCAGTGCCATTACAGCCGCAAATCACCTCACCTTAGCAGCGGATGAAAAAAATGCCTATTTAAACTATTACAATATCATTGGCACGTTACA